CGGCTTTATCCTCAGTAAGGCAGAAAATGAGCTCCAGGCTTTGCTGTCCTTACGAAGAGTGCTGTGCTGACTGCAGAGCTCATCCCACACTGTGATGCTTCGGCTGTGAGCAACCCAAGCTCCACACCTGCATGTGCTGCTGGGAGAGGCTCCAGAACCCCCTTCTGCCCTGGGGACATCCCCCTGTGGGCCTAGGGGCCCAGAAGGATTCCACTTGGGCACTGTTAGCTTCCCAGTGCCAGCGTTAGCAACGAGCTTCATGGTGAGAAAATCCTCCACATGTGCTTCGTGGGAAGTGGAGAGCTGCCCTGTTTGGCCAGGGGACAGGTCCTCAGCATCCCGTGTGTCACAGCTTCTCCCATTCTGCACTGTCTTGGCAGAGACAAAAATAACCAAAATCCATTACAGTCTCTTAATTGTCACTTTCTCCCGAAAATAGATGTTTGTGTAAAGAGTCACAGTAGTCACCATCCATTATGATGGTCTGCTTTGGCTTCTAACTTTAAATAAACAATAATGTTTTGATAAAGTTTGCAAAAGCATAATTAGTCCTGTGGGCACAATACTTTCAGACTTCAAATGCTCGTTCTCCAGATGTACTCTTTGGGTTTATAGATTTTTAGATTTGTAATTTCAAAGGATCTGATTGCAGACTGCTGAAGCTCAGGATTTGGAGGTTTGGGGTTCACTCGCATTCAAGATATCATTATAGTATTTGCACACTGAGAGATGTGTACACATTTCTTCATTTTCTTTGTTATACGCACCTGTCACAATCTGAAAACACGAAAAAGAAAAGCCTGTCCTCCACGCTAATTCCACTGGGATTCAGCAGCACACAATCTGCTGCATATTCATGAAGATCTTATTCCTTCGGCGGGCCAAAACACCACCAAAGAAGTGAGCAACTCTCTGAAAAGCCGGAAGCATTGCGGTGAGGTGATGGGACAGGACAGGAGGTGCCCACGCAGGTGCCTGGGCAGGCGGCTCAGCTCCGGTGCTGTGGGCATCCCACCCCCTGCCCCCTCCCTGTCCCGTGCCCATTGCACAGGGAGCACAGTGTGGGCTGGATCTGCAGCATCTAGCAGCAACTGTGTGCTCAGTCAGCTGTGCCTGGATGCCCTGTGATCCCAGCTATCATCAGCCTGCTTACAGAGAAATGGAGTGCTGCAGCCTGCACCTCACCGACCGGTTCATTGCTGGTTAGCCTGACTTGTAGGTTTATTTCCCAAATGATTAACTCTTAAGAGCTTTCCCTGCGCTGGAGTGACTGCCGTTCTTCATCTTTAGGAGCAGCGCAAATTCTGCTTGGGCTGCAGTGAAACGCTGAGTATTTTGTTGTTTATTTTTCCCCCTGAAAATGCCAGGATGGAATATGACCTCAGTGCCCACTGCTGGCCTCAGCTGAGTGACCCTCAGTCCATGTGAGCCGCAGGGTCCCAGAGCCAACAGCGGGCTGCATTCTTCAGTGTTTGGAACAGATTTTCTCCCTGTGAAGTTAACAGCAATCACTTCTGAAAACCGAGTGTTTGCTTGTATTTGTATTTGTAGGGAAACCTGCAGCTCTTCTCTCCCTGCCCACCACCTGACCATGCCAAGGAGGTCAGGGCTTGGGGAAGGCAGAGCTACAGCCTTTGGGACATCATGTGCAGGAGGAGCAGAAGCAGTGTGTGCTGCAGGGCAGAAGGAAGGAGGAAGCATCCAGGAAGGAGGCAGTGCTGCACTGCAGCCCACAGGAGCTCGAACCAGGCAGCAGCCTCACCAAATTGCTGTGAGCCAGAAGCTGAATGAGTCCAGGCTGGGTGATCCAGACTGGATGACCCAGATGTTCTCTTCTTTAGATTTGACCCACTCCAAAAATATAATGAAATAAATAAAATACAACATTGCAACTTTCTCTACAAATACTGCATTCATGTGCTAACGTGCCGGCAAGGATGACATGGAAGATTTATTCATCATTTTTACTCATCATTAAGGTTTTACACGTATCACCATTTCTGTACTATAAATTCCAATAACATGGGAGCAGTTTACCAAACAGCAGCAGAAATGGAGAGAATGAATTGCTGGGAACAAAAAGCCTTAACAAACCACACAAATTTCAAAGCAGGCTGTGTTAGAGGTTAGTTATGCTCCTTCATTTGCTATAGCAACGGTCATTCTCCCTGCAGTCTTTACAATGTGGCACCATTTTCAGCTGTTTTTTTCCTGTAACCTCTCGGGTGGCCTGGAAGTCTGTAGACATCTCTTAATAGACTCTTGTTATGAAAATTCCTTCATGGGAAGCATCTGGAGATAAAAATCTTTCATGTCTTTAACTCGGGGAAAAAAAAAAGGAATGGGGTTTCTGTGGTCCCATTGTAAAGAAATGTGTCATGAATTTGCCTGCAAGCAAGAAAACACTCTGTTGCTATTTATTTTTTTTAACTAATGAGGAAGAATCTGGTTATGTTCATTCCATAGTGTAAGCTTCTCAAAAAGCAAATCCAGCCAAATTTATTTAGCAAACCAAAGATCGTTGCGATGACTGCTTTGTTTCCCCAGGTTCGTTCTCCACAGCAGGACGCTCACTTAGGGTTTGTGTTTCCACAGTGTGCTCACTGGGGCTCTAATGGCCACAAACTGTGTCCCCATGCCCTAGGATCAGTTCTGCAAACAGAGCTGTTGGTGGTGGGCAGTGTTCCCATGGGGTGGCATTGCTCCAGCACGGTGTGGGACCCTTCCAATGCAGGCAGCCTGTGGAAGGACCACACTTCCCAGTGCCAATGGGAGATGCTGAGAAGCACCAACAGCATCAGCTGCTGTAAAACAGCTGTTGGAGAGGAGAAAGGCTGTGAGGAGACCTCACTGTGATTCTTGAGGGGAGCTGATAAACAGGAGGGAGAGTGACTTTACACAGGAGATGATGGTAGGACAAAGGGAACAGCTTAAAGCTGCAAGAAGGGAGATTTAGGTCAGAGGCAAGGAAGAAATTCACCCAGAGGTGGTGAGACCCCAGCAATGCTGTCCAGAGCTGTGGGTACCCCATCCCTGGAGGTGCTCGAGGCCATGGATGGGCCCTGGGCAGATGGAGCTGGGGGTGGGGACACCCAGCCCACGGCAGGGGTGGAAATGGGGGGCAGTGAAGTCCTTTCCAACACAGCCATGCTGTGGTTCTATGAAATCCATGCTCCACATGTACCTCCAGCCAGCACCACACTGTGAAGCCCCTCTGAGCCCCGTTCAGCACTGCAGCAAGTTGCTGGTGTGCACAGGACACAGAGCACTGCACTCCAGGGCCGCACTGCTCACAGGGCCACAGCTGCAGGGAGGGCAGTGTGGGCACCAGCTGCACCCAGTGCTGTGTGTGGGTGTCATGGCACAGGACGTGGCTGTTGGCTTTTATGAGAATTGCCTTGTAAATGAGGGTTTGTTGAGGCACTTACTGACAGCAATTATTTAAATGAAGGAATAAAGCTGGTAAACTTGGTTCTTCTGAAAATGTGTACTGAATTGCAGCATTAATAGATACAAATACTGAATAGCCACTCAAATACAATTTGAAACTCCTTTATCTCATTTTTCATCGTTCATTGGCTTGACATTCTTCAGAAACATAATTTGCAATATCGTGGAAAATCATTTTTTAACTTCCCTCCTCCTGACATCCATTCTATATAAACATATAAGGTTTAGACATGGAGACATATCATAGACTCCCAAATCAAGAGAAAGGAAGATAAAAAATGAGGTTCATAAAAACTGATTTTCAGGAGATCAAATTATCTGGCTGGATCAGAAACTATGTTTTAAAATGTGTGAGGTTGATTTGAAACAAAAGAACTCAGTGTTGCCACTAAAGTAAAAACAATAGAAGGTACAGTTCCTACAATTTAAATTGTGGGAAACTTCTGGAGACGACGCCTGAAAAACAACAGTGCTGGAAGAAAAGTTGTGAGGTTGTCTTGATTTGTGAATGGCACACTTGATGGACAGTTTGACAAAGCACACAGTTATTTGAGTTTAACTTTTAAAGCAGAAGAAATGCAGGTGGAAAAACTTCACCCACCTCCATTGTGAGAGAGGCAGTGAGATACTGAACACTGCTGTTAGAAAGGGGTTGGAATCACACCGAAACTCTCAAAGCTGCACAGAGATCTCCAAGAAGAACCTGCATCTTGAAGGCTCCCTGCTGCATGGCACCAGGGAGCTCAGCAGCTTGCAGTGGCCCAAAACACACTGAAGGTGATGGCAGAGGGCTCCAACCTGGCACACAAAACAGTCTGCACAGAAATTATACAATTCTGAATAAGCCAAAATGGATTTTTTTTTCTAGACAATATGCCCTTACTCAGTCACAAGGAAAAGGGCTTCGGGGAAGATTTACAGGTTTAATTTTAGATCTGCTGTGATTCAAGAGGTCCAACCAAGGGGAGGCAATATTCACCCACAGAACTGTGGGTGCCTGATTCCTGGAAGTGCTCAAGGCCAGGCTGGATGGACCCCTGGCAGCCCAAGCTGGGGCTGGGTTTAATGGCTGGCAACCCTGTCTATGGACCTTCAAGCTAGGTGATCTTCAAGGTGCTTTCAAAAGCAAAAATCAAAAGGCATTGATTCTGTGGTCAGTCACGCAGCCACAGGTGAGGTGAGGTGACAGATGGCCCCACTCTCTGCTCAGACCTGAAGGGATGTCCTTCTGCACTGCTCACCTCGAAGCCTGTGCTCCATGACATCTGCAGTGAACATGGCAGCACCAACATTGCACAAAACTGGAATGGATCAAACAGAGGAAAGGCCTCAGGAGAACGGAGCTGCTGCACTGTCATGCAGAAGGGAAATTATAAAGTAAAAGTGCTGTTTGCCCTTCCACCATCGGCACAGCACAGAGCATTGAAAAAACAATAGGATCCAGCCCCATGGGTGCAGCTGCTGGAGAAGAGGCTGCAGGGTCTGTGCTGGAAGCAGACTTTCACAGCTCAAGGGTAAACAGCACAGAGAGGATCTAAACTTTTCCTTTTCACAGACATTTAAGGAGTGTAGTGGCAATGCTAAGTCATGGCTTGAAGCAGTGATGGAGCACCTGGTGGAAGGCAGGGCCAGCACAGAGGAGCTCAGGTGCATGCAATGTACCTGAGTGATGGAAGGGCTGGAGCCAGGATCCACCCCTGCCCAGACCTCATTTAAGGGCTGGCAGTGGATGAGAATCTATTTCATCAGGATGTCCCTGCTAACATGAAGATCTTGGAGGGATTCTGAAGGTAAGCAGTTTCTTTTCCTTATTTTTGCACCCACTGCTTTTGTGTCTGAGAGGATTCTTACTTGCTGCAGCCTGAGGTCTTACATCTCTGCTGTCTTGTTGCAATTTCCATTGCATAACAGTGCTTAGAGGAAATTAAGGGATATTATAGAAATGTGTATTATAAAAGAGGGGAGAACAGGGGGATTTCTGCTTCATCATGTCCCACAGTAATTCTATAGCCTATATCCTGGGTATTCAGTGAGAAATATACTAGTCTTTACTCAGTTGCCATTTATTCAGAAATACATCTTGACTTAGGACTCATTGGGATGTGGTAATTGAGCAGCCTTAATAATGAAGATAAATTTCTGAGCATATCAAAATATTTGTGGAAAGGAGTCAAAGAACTAAAAAATGCTCAGTGATTCCTCACGCTCTTGGAGCAAAGTTGAAGCTCATGTTCCATCTGTAACACTGTTTCATTTCAGTTTCAATTACAAGATTTTATTCCTGCTATTAATTTCTACTGTCATCTGAAATCTAAGGATCTGGTGTAGTAAAATTCAATTGTGGTGGGAATTGGAAGCTTCTCTGCTGTTTGCTGTGTTCAGTCAAGAAGTGCACACTTTTAAATCAATATAAATCCTAGCAAGTATTGTACAAATATTACCAGAAACTGTAGAATTCTTCTTTATGTTAATAATGTTATGAGGTTTGCCTTAAATGAACTCACTATTGCTGACTATTTGCTACCAATTCTAAATTAACTTTTGGACCTCTGTATTGGGACTCTGTGCTCTTGGCTTCAGATTCTTTGTGCTCCCTTCCTTGTAAAACAGGGAGTCTTTAGCACTTGGAACTTGGTGCCAGCAGCAGCCATCTGAGCATAGGGATGAAGAGGAGAGGAATTCACTGGGTTGCCTTCGTGTTCACCTTCCTCACTGAAGGACAACTGAAACCATTGTCAATACACAGCTAAATGAATGCTCAAGCCCCCAGAAGACAAAATCTGAGAAGAAATCAGAGCTCTTTCAAGTGCTGGCAGAAATGAAAGATAACTCGGGTTTCAGCTGTCTGCAAGAATCTTTGTGTTATGATCCATCAATCCCTCTACTACACCAACCAGCACCAAAACATATGCTTTGTTTTTCACGTCATCCCAATGAGAGTTCAGCATCAGCTGCCAGCTAAAGCTCTGCAAAGGTAATTTTGTGCAGGATGGAAGAAATGAGTGACAGGTTGCACGTCTGGAACCTCACTGGGTTCCATCCCAGCTCCATGGCTTGCAGCTCTGGTCAGCAACAGCACATGCAAAGGACTGGGGAGCAGCATCAGCTGAAGCTGGGTTCTGTTATTTATTGGATGAACTATTTGCTAAAGAAGGCAGATGGGAAACTTAAAACACTTATGAATATGCATTTTGTTGGTTTTCCCATTATGTCATCATGTGACATTAGTAAGCAGTCATTTCTAATTGACTTCAAAATCCATTGCAAAGAGGCTTTGCAAAGCACAGGGAGCATGTCCCACTGGTACTTGTGTGGTGCCAGCCCCATGTGGGCCAGGAATGCTGCAATGACTGCTAGGCAGCCAGCAAGGGGCCATCTCATTCTGTCTGCTGGGGGCAGGTGCTGGAGCTGGGCAGACCTCAGAGCTGCACTGGGTTCTGTGAGGCTCTGTTGAAGTTTCCAGGAATAATTCAAGACAGAGTTTGGACACCCTAAGCAGGGGGGCATGCTATATACCTCCATTTATACCACAGTGTATTCATTTCTAAAAAGCACAGAAATGCCCTCCAGCTTTCTGTCCTGCACATCCAGACCCACACGGCTGTGTGCTCTGAGCTCAGGCTGCCCCAGCTCTGCTCCGTTCCCCAGCTGCCAGCAGCACAGTACTTAGCAGGAAGGTGGCTGCGCTGCCAAACTGCTTCCTACACACACACTGCTCACGTGAGTGAACTGTATTTGCTGTGAGCATGGAATTATTTTTTTACACTTGTGAAAGGAGCACAAATAGAAGGGCCCTATTCCATTTTTGTGTGGCAGTTCCCAGGATGGCACTACAAAAACTGTGGCCCTTCTTCAGGGTCCAGCCTGCTGAGAGCAAAACGGGGAGAGGGGAAGGAAAAATCATCTCTAACAGGATTTTAACAAAGTTATCAGTTTTCTGTTTAAGCCACTGAAGACATGATACTGACAACAGCACAAATGAATTAGAAGTCTGCAACAAAAAACGCTCCCAAAAATTTTGTATTTGCACGGCAACCAGCTTATTATATTTACATGAACATCTGCTGCAGGTTCACAAAAACCTTTAAAACAGATGGACATGAAGAAAGAGCTAGTAATTAACAAAGCTATATGTTGATTAAATCAGTGTGTGGTTAATTTTAATGATTACTGATCCTTATAGGAGTCCATAAGACTTCTCAAAATTAAAGCCACTTCAACTGATGAACTACAGCCGCAGAGCACAGTAGTGTTTGCTGTCCTCATCCTGCTCCCATGGAATTAATTGGAGCAAGTAATTGTGGACCTGTGCCAGAAAGGGCTGTTGTGAGCATCCGTTGTGCTTTGAACACAGAAACTTTCCAGGATGGATTTCTTTTGAGCTAGAGCAGCCCCTACAGAGAGCCAGTGCCCAGTGCCCAGTAAGACATTTTGGCAATGAGGAGTCTTTGGTAGGATGTTCTCGTCACTGGAGTACTCCTTCTGTGCTTAAAACTCTTATTTATCTCACTTTCCAGCTTTGGATCTCCTTTATCCCTGCCTACTTTGAAAACCTCTCTGTTTCCAAAGTTCTGCTCCCTGTGTTCATATTGAGACTGGAGCACATCCTACCCCTCACTGCTGAGATTGTCTGCTTCCAGCCTTGCTGCCTGGCTGCTGGCCCTCTGTTCCCCAAGGCCTTGTGCACTCCCTTGCTCAGAGCCAAGTCCCACTGCTATCAGTGGGTGCCTTGCAGACTGCTTTCCTCCTCTGCTGTGTTTGTCATCTCGTTACAAAATGTCAACGTTATCTAGTGGTCCTATTTTCCACACCCACAAGGTGATTGACACTAATTAGAATACATTTCCTAATTACTCATCAGACAAGTCTCGCATCAGCTGTTCTGATGTGCTAACAAGCCCTGTGGCTCAGCTCTGCTCTGCTCTCCCAGCTCTGGCTGGGCCTGCAGGACCCATTCCATCGCAGTGCCTGCAGGTCGCAGCCTCTCCTGCCAGCCCCACGCATCCTGGCCCCTCACATCTCCTGTCAGAGCTCAGCACTGCCCCTCCACTGCACTCCACACTGTGTGGAGCCATAGGCTGTGATGAGATCTCCCCTCAGTCGCCTCTTCTCCCGGCTGAACAAACCAAGAGACCTCAGTTTCTCACCACATACCTTCCTGTCCAGACCCTTCACCATCTTCATAGCCATCCTTTGGGCACTGTGAAAGCCAGGGTAGTTAATAAGTGCAGATGACACCACTGTGATGGTCTCCAGCAACATGCAACCCCTCAGCAGCACTAAGCATCCCATTAGCATGACGTACCAGCACCAGCTCTGCAAATTGGAGCCACCAAGCCACCCACCATGTGCCATTTCCAGCACCTCTCAGCCCACAGCCAACACTGCTGGCCCCAAAACAGGCACTGTCCAGCAGGACCAGGTACTGCTAGACCACAAGCTGCAAAAAATAAACCAAACCAAAAACACCAAAGCCTTGGGATGTTTATGATCTCAAATGAATAAAGTATTAAAAGGGAAGGCCGGAATCGCAGGGTTAATTTACATCTGAGCAACTACAGTTTTCCTATGGAAAACAAAGCAGAATGGCACTCCCACACTGCCTGGATGATAGAGCAGCAATCTGCTTTACCCCAACACATTTTCCAACAGGTCTGTTCATCACGTCACATCCACAGGACACCGCGTGAGCGTGTGCTTCCTTTAGTAATTGCTGGGAGAGTGCTGAAGAGCCATGTAAGCAGTTTGGGATGCAGCATAAAAGAGAACTCTCTCGAGGCAATTTCTGGCACACAATGTCTCCAGATAGCATTGTAGGGCCTTCTGCACATCCCAAAGGAGATATGCAGAATAAAATTGGCCCGTTCCTGGAGAAAAAAAGAAAAAAGTGCATTAAAAATACCAATTCTCTGTTTTACAGTGAACAAGAAGTGAAATGGGAAGGAAGGAGCCTGCAGAGCTGGGTGCTGCCTGCCCTCCCTGCCCCTTGGCAGCAGTGCCATGCAGACGGGCGGTGGGGCAGGCAGGGCTCTGCCTCCTGCCCCGCAGCGATGCAGTGAGTTACTCAAGGTGACCCCAATAAAGATGGAAAATGATTTAAATAACACAACCAGCACCAGTGCTTATATTTTAGATGTTTATGTTTGATACACTTGAAGGAGAAAGGCTTAAACAGATTTGCAAATCCAGCCTGGTGTTACACTAATTACTCTAAATGAATTGAGCGAAGTGTGTAAACTGCTGAGTCTGTACTATAAAAACCTTCCATAAATACTAGGCACTGGAATCCAAAATGCTTCAGCTTGTCCTTAGCAGACAGGATTATTATAACAACTCTCAGTGTGATCACAGGACGTCCATAAAGAAGCATTCCAATATGACATTACTGTGGGTATAACCACATGAGGCTTGGAACCACGCTATTGCCACCACTGGGAATAGTCTGGCCTTAATCTAGTCGTATACTTATTGTAAAAGCATTGTTCTCTCTGCAACCAGTTTAAACTAACACCAATTTTTGTTCTTCAACAAACAGAGAGTGTTTCTGGGCACTACACAATAGCAATGCCTTGTAATTTTGTAAATCAAGTTTGTTTCTGCAGAAGTCTATGGGAATAAAATAGGATTTTACAGAACATCTAGAAGCATAGTTTTATCAAAGAGAAAACACACCAAAATGGCCTGATCTCTAAGCAGACAACTCTGATTAAAAGAAAACGGAGGAAAAAAGCTCCGAAATGCTCAACTCAGGCATCACAGATAAGAAATATCACCATAGGCTGCCACGGAGCTTCACTCTCATTCAGCAATCCCAGGGATCAACAAAACATTGCTAGGAATTATTTCAGTTAGTGGAATGACACTGCGGAGATTACATTGATTAAAGCAATAAATCCTAAGTACGGATCAAAAGCATCCAATATGGAGAAAGAATGCTGAGTAGAAGATGGGAAGCACTGCCAGGAAGACAGGGAGCAGGGAGCTGTGGGCTCCAAAGGGAAACGGTGAGCCCAGGGAAGGGGGCAGTGCCGGGTGAGGGGCACACATGGGTCTGACCTTGCGTGAGACTTGGACCATCATTTATTTTACCTGCTGCTTTCAGATAAGTGCTGCAGTCGCCAGGAACCGTCAACTGAGGAAATGGCATCAGGAATATTCAGAGGAGTATCAGAGAGAGGCGTGCAGAGATGCCTTCCCTTTACCAGGCAGCTGCTTGCCAGAAGGTGGCAATACAAAAGAACTACCACTAAGACAAAGGTCAGTAATTCCAACCGCAGATTTCAGCCTTTTTCAGCAATGCACCTTCAAAACTGGAGGGAAGATGGTTATTGTAATTCATTTTATACAATGCCTTCTTGTTGCTCTAAGGGAGGAGATATTTAGCATATTAATGACAATCACAGGCCGTATTATCTTGAAAAATTAGCAAACCAGCAGAAAGGTGGCATACCTTGTGGTATCATCAGGGGAAACGTGAGCGTAGGCAGAAATATCCAAAATAACTTCATAATAAACCTGTGACACTCATTACCAACTGATACTACTGGGACTGAAAACACAACAGAATGCAGAGAAGTATGAGATGCATGTGGGTGCTGAGACAAAATGCTGTCATTTCAATGGGATGTTAAGGGAGAGGATGTAAACCCTTTTACTTCAGCACAGGAAGGCACGATTTATGTTTCCTATGGACAAAGCCTTCCTTAATTTTCAATTCTGGTGTTTTTCCCATTCCTTCTGAAGCATCGGAACATGGTGAAGTGCAGAAAAAAGAATATCAGCACAGATGGATCACTGATCTGATCTCATGTATCGGTCTCTGAGATTTTAGAAAAAGGTGGGGCTCAACTGGAAATAAATGAAAACTATTAAGCAAGAGAGGAAAGCACATTCTAAATAGGAAATGGAAACCCAGAAAGGTAGTAAAAGCTTGAGACCTTGGGGCTGGGTTGGACAGTAAATTAGAAATGAAAATGCAATAGAATTTGGCAGCGAAAAAGGTCAGTGGGATTTGGGACTGCATGTGCCAAGACTTTCCATCACAGAGGGAGAAGATAAAGCCTATTACCAATTTTCAGATTTAAGCAGCTTGACTAAGTTTCAAATCAATATCCAAACATTTGGGTGCTTAACCAAGTCAAACCTGGAAGCCCTTTTGGATTCTCACTTTGGTTCCTAACATCTTTATGATCTTTTCTGAGAATTCAATCTGTTGCAAAAAATAAATCTTTCAAGATAAGCATTTGCAGCTGCCAAGAGACTATTGTGATAAGCTGTGGAGGATGACTCGGGGCCTTCACAAACTGAGATTGGGAATTAGAAGAAATCGCTTTGCGTTTAGTAGATGCGTTTCAGATGCCCGAGAACACAGCCTTTGGTTCACAGAGCTGCTGTTTTACTTATTTCCAACACAAATCACAGCTATTTTACTTAAACAGTACTTTCTTCTGATGCCAGTTACCCAGGTCACAGGATAGCAAGCACCCATAAATAAAGAGAAGTCTCCAAATAAGATATAGAACAGCTCTTTCTCTCCCAAAGTCCTGGCAGCAACCTTCCCATTGCCAGAGCTCCATTTGCTGCCATTTCCTAATCTGTAATGCAGTGCAGAGCACAACCAAAGCTGCTCTTCCTCTGAAGGTCCTTACAGACCAAGGTCTGTACAGACCAAGTGCAGATTGCACTTCAGAGCCATCAGCTCCTCTGAAAATAAGTCTTACTAATATTTAATGCCAGAAGTATTTAGATATTGCGGTGCATTCAATAGCAAGATTTTGTCTTTGAATGCGTAGGTGTTGCACTGCTTTTATAACCAAAATTACATCTTTCAGCTGTTCATTATAGTTTGATGTAACTGAATCTTCCGTGTCAAGGAAGGTAAAATCACTTCAGCCTAGACATTCATTAGTAATTTTCTCTGAAGAAGGTAGAAATTTATTTGGCTTGACCTAATGATTGAACTAAATAGGTTTTCTTCAATCCATCTGCCAGGCTAGATATATTTATGTGCTTTACAGCTGCATTGGAAACATTACTCATAAGTACAATGAGGAAGCTTTGAATGACCATGCATTGTTAAGATAAACCCAGTGCTAAAGCCTTGCTGTTTTTTGAGAGCTGCCTTGAGCTGGAGGGGAGGAACTTCTCTGTTATTTCTCTTGAAGGCTATAGGAACACATTTTTCCAAGCATTTCACTTAAAGGCTGAGAAGCAAATGCACTCACACAGAAAATGTAATCATCAGTAAACAGCAGACATCCCAGCAGTATGAAGAAAACACTGAAAGTAAAATTTATTCACAAGCCCATTTATAAAATTTCCAGTTAGACGGGAGCACTTCACAAGTAACACAAATGCTGAAACACAAAGCCGTGGGGAGACCCAGAGGTGTGAGGGTTCTGAGCTTCCAGTCCTGTGCCTCTCACTCCCTCTCCTCCCACACCGGTGGTGCTGGTGGTGTTGGTAACAAATGCCAGTGCAGCTCTGGGGTGTCTGCAGAAAACTGGGCTCAGGGCTCCATCCTCAGCAGTGCCATCCAATGCCCACAGCCCTGCCACATTGTTTTACTGCCACTGCTCTGTGCAAACAGTGAGGACAGCAGAGTTCAAAATGAGAATTGGGTTTGCCAGTAGGCATTGAGTGGGAGGGAGAACTTGGACGGCCCTAGAAATCAAAGGGATGGGCATGAGTGCTCCTCACACATGGCAAGCCTGCAGGAATGATGCGGGGCTTCCCCCGGTTGGCCCAGCAGGCTTTGAACACGTGAGGTTCACAGTTTCCAAAGTCCCTTAAAGGCTCCACGGTCTGACTCCACAGCTGTAGCTCTTGTTTTCTTTCATCCACCTTGTAAGAAACCCACAATTATTTCTTGCTGGTCAAACCCTTTTAATTTTGCTGTTGCTCCTTTTGACCTAAACTGTAGGTGAACTGAGACCCGAATTATATCTGCCGGATGTAGTGTATAGTGAGTTATCTTAAAAACAGGAGACTTTTTAAAGAGAGATCAAAAGGGCTTAGTGCTAGTTGTACTCAGTTCCTTAGACTCCCAGCCATCACACCAAGAAATTATGGGCTCAAATAAATGCATTCTTGTCTGGGTTCCTGAAGGATAGCAACAGAAACTTGAGAAATGTACCATTAAAAATCCTGAGTAGTCTCAGTTTAACATTGAGTGGAAACCAAAACGAAGATGCATTACGATG